ATGATAGCTGGGGGTCTCCTCCCTGCTCTCCCTTACTGTCTACCCCCCCAGTCATGTCTTCCACAGCAGCTGGGGCACACGCATCACAGCCTGCTTATACCCCAGCTGCCCCATGCCCCTGATGTGAGACCACACCTTCCTGCCAGACTCTGCCCACCTGCCTCATCTCCCTCTACCACTGTCCTTTGCCCTTAGGACCTACCCACAGTCCACCTGGCCTGCTTTTCCACTAACACATCAGGCAGGTGGGGCCTCTGTGTAGGGCCCTCCCTCACCTACTGGGTTGGATCCTTCCTGAGGTTCAGCTCACGGACCCTCTTGCCCCAAGTCCTCCTCACCGCACCACCTGGAGGTGCTTTACTTTCCCTCCTGAGATGGCAATTTTATTTGCTGTCTGTACACCTCCTCCTAAGATATGAGCCCCATGGTACAGGAACTTGTGTGCAGTCTTCCCAGCACATAGTAGGTGCTCAGTAAATACTCCCTGAGTAAGTGAATAGGTGAATTGAGTGGGTTACTTAAGTAGGGTCCCCAAAGAATCCAGGGAATGCCTCGTACCCACCCCCCTGCATTATTTCCAAATGAAACCTCACCTGGTTTTTCAGTTTTGGACAGAGGCGGTGACTTTGTCTTCTGCAATTGGCTACAAATAAATACAAAGGAGAGGTTTGGAAGCCAGGGCAGGAGGCGCAGGTGGAGGGGTGCAGGTGTCACCTGCCCACTCCAGGGGAGCTTAGTTGCCCAACCTAGATACCAGACGGCCACATTCACGGCTGGAACCCTGGCAGCTTCTACATCCTACAGCTATGATTCTATGCCTAGGGGGCCAGGGGCCATCGAAGCCTTTTGTCCCAGGGACTATAGGGACAGAGCCTATGAGAGCCCTCTCCTCTGGCCTTGTTCACACTCTGGCAGACAGGAAGACATACTTTGTGTTTGAGTGGGGAAGACAGGGCCCCTTCCCCTGAGCTGACTACACAGAGGCATGAGCAATGGCCTGTCCTGGTGGGGCCTGGCACTGCTCCAAGCCCGTTCACACACCCCTTGTCCTTTCCCTGTGGCTTCAGGAGGCTGGAAGATGGGCTTGCCCCGGGCCACCTTTCTCACTCAACCCTTCCTCCTCTGGCCTCTTAAGATGGGAAAGAAAACCAAGTCCAGGCCAGAGCAAGAACCCAGGGCCTCAGCAAACCTAAGCCTGCCCATCCCTGCTTCTACTTCCTGCGCCTGCCCGCCTCCAGCCACCCCAAGCCCCTCACCGCCTGAAGAGCGCACCCCCTGACTTCCCTGCAGTTCTGATTGCAGGATGGCCTTTTCCCACCCTCTCCTTTGCTTCTTCAAATTCTGTCTGTGTACCTGAGTGCTTCCAGGTGTACTTGGGTGATCCTTAAAAATACAGACCACTGATTCACCCCAGTCCTGGTGGATTAGAACCTCCAGAGGTCCAGCTACCACCGAGCTACACTCCCAGCCCTGGGCTTGCATTTTGAACAAGCTTCCTGGGTGAGTTTGGGGGCTACTAGGCTGGGAGTCAGGCCCTCCAGGTGACTTTGGGCAGGTCCTCCAACTGTCCCAGCCTCTATATTCTCATCCGCAGAATGGAAACAATACTACTTCTGGGGTTACTAGACCAGAAACTTCTAGGACCCCCCAGGAGTCTCAGACAGACACAGTGGGCCTCCACCTTGCCCTGTCCTTCATGGAAAGCCAGGCTGCACCATCCACCTTGTGAGGGCTCCCACTTCTTTCCCTGCGGTACTGGGAGTGGAAGCCAGGGGTACCCCGCTACTGGAGCTACACCCCAGCCCTTCTGATTTTCTTTGGCTTTGAAACAGGGTCTCACTAAATTGCTCAGGCTGGCCTTGAACATGTGATATTTCCACCTCAGCATCCTGAGTAGCTAGAATTATAGATGTTCAGCGCCACTCGCGACTCCTAGTTAGTAATAAACCCCTTTTCTTTGTAATGAATCCCTTTCTCCTCCAGCCTGCTGGGGCACTGGATAACAGGCAAAGCAGCCTGCCTGTGTTGCATTCCACTCTACCTTTGGAGCAAGGGCTTCGGAGGGCTGGATGGGGCTCAGCAGCCTTCCCCTGTTACAATCCACCCCACTCCCACTGGCTGGACAGCGGGGCCTGGCGGGTCCCCTGGGGAGTAGCCGGGCCTCTTGCTCCAAGTCAGGCTCACTGGGCCCAAGCTCTGGCCAACTCCAAGCTCCCTTCTCTGGCCCCCAGATCTCGCACAGGAGGCTTGGTAACGGAACATGAGGAAACAGTTCTGGGAACAGAGGGGTGGAGGGGGTGCAGAGCCCACCTGTAGGCTGCCTGCAGCTTCTCTTGAGGTGGTTCTTGAATTTCCTGAAGCTGGTCCAAGAGCGCTTCTGATGGAATGAACTCCAGGGGCTGGGGCAGGAGCTGTGCCACAGCTGTCTGCAGGAGCCCTAGAGCCAGGTCTTTCTCTGGAAGCACAGCCCAGGGCCTGGGCTCAGACCAGCCCCTTTCTGGACCTGCCTAGCCTGCCCAGCCCGGGGCGCAGGCAGCGCTCTCTGAACTCCCAAATTCTGCCCTATGTCTCTCCTGGCCCCATGTCCACCAGAAGCCCAGGGCTCTCGCAGCCCTCTCCCTCACACAGCTAAAGTGCACCTTGTCCGCATGCAGCCCACCACACCCGGCACCCTCCTCCTGCTCCTCCTCCTCCTGGCTCTCGCCCCCCTCCCCTCCCACTGAGACACACCCTTCACTGCTATGTTTCTGTGCACTTGTGTGTCCTTGTGCATGCATGTGTGTGTGCGTGTGTTTCCACCCGTGCAGGCCTTTCCCATGGTAGCCTGGGAGGAGCTGTGTCTGCTAAGCGTGATCCTTAAACCACTCCCTCCACCCTGGTAACTAGGATTGGGGCCAGCCTACAGTAGCAGACCCCTTCAAGGGGCAGAGCTGGAGAAATCCTCTGGGCATAGGGGATCCTGAGGAAGCAGGATGAGTTGGGGAAATGTTTCTGTGGGTCC